CATCAGCTGAGAGACACTGAGGTTGCTTCCATCTCTTAGCTATTGTTAAAAGAGCAGCAACAAACATGGTTGTACAAATGTCTCTATAATAGGATGAGTCCTTTGGGTCTATGCCGAGGAGCAGTATAACCGGGTCACATGGTAGGTTCATTTTTAGTTTTTTACGAGTTCTCCACACTGTTTTCCATAGAGGCTGCACGAGTTTGCAATCCCACCAGCAGTGAATGAGTGTTCCCCTTTCTCCACATCCTCACCAGCATTTGGTATCATTTGTTCTTTTGATCCTAGCCAGTCTGATTGGGGTAAGGTGACACCTTGGGGTGGTTTTAATTTGCATTTCCCTAATTACTAATGATGTTGAACACTTTTTGAGATGTTTCTTAGCCATCTTTATTTCTTCCTTTCAGAACTCTGTTTAGATCTTTAGCCCATCTTTTAATTGGGTCATCTGGTTTCTCGATTATTTTTTGAGTTCTTTATATGTTCTGGATGTTAAACCTCTGTCAGATGTGTCACTGGTGAAGATTTTTTCCCATTCTGTGCATTTTCTCTTCACTCTTTTGATTGTTTCTTTTGCTGTATGGAAGCTTTTTAGTTTAATGAGGTCCCACTTAATGATTGCTGACCTTAATCCCTGAGCAACTTCTGATTTAGAAAATCCTTTCCTATACCTATATCTTGTAAGTTACTGCCAATATTTTCTTCCAATAGTTTCAGGGTTTCCAGTTTCACATTGAGGTCTTTGATCCATTTGAATTTGACTTTTGTGCAAGGCGAAAGATAAGGATCTAGTTTCATTCTTCTACAGGTGGAGATCCAGTTTTGCCAGCACCATTTGTTGAAGATGCTGTCTTTCCTCCATTGTGTGTTCTTGGCACCTTGTCAAATATCAGGTGGCTGAAAATGCACGTACTCAGGTTTGGATCCTCAGTGATGTTCCATTGATCTATGTGTCTGTTTTTGTGCCAGTACCATGCTGTTTTTATGACTATGGCTCTGTAGTATATTTTTGAGATCTGGTATAGTAATCCCCCCGGTGTTGCTCTTTGTGCTCAGGGTTGCTTTGGCTATCTGGGGTCTTTTGTGCCTCCATATGAATTTAAGAGATGGATTTTTCTAATTTTGTGAAGTATGTCATGGGAATTTTGATTGGGATTTCATTGCATCTATATATTGCTTTTGATAGGATGGTCATTTTCACAATATTAATTCTTCTAATCCATAAGCATGGGAGGTCCTTTCATCTCCTGGTGCCTTCCTCAATCTCCTTCTTTAACAATTTAAAATTTTCATTGTAGAGATCTTTGGTGTCTTTGGTCAGATTTATTCCAAGATATTTTTTTTTTTGCAGCACTTGTGAATGGGAGCTGTTAACTGTATCTTTTACCACACTGTGACCATCTTTTTTCTCCTGATTTAACCACATAAATGCAATTTCTATTCTACCATTTACTGTGACTCTCAAAGACTCCAAAGTAGCTGCTTTCCAGTGGATCCATCTAGATGCCTATCTGCCCTCAGAAGATTTGGAATTTCTGTGTATAACCCAGCCCTTCTACATATCGGAGCACAGGAAACACTCCAACTTCCATGTGGTGGGATGACAGTAGACTACCGCTTTACATTTTTTGATCTATTTATTTTATGTGTATGAATGTTTTGCCTGCATGTATGTAAGTGTACCACATGCATACGGTGCCCATGGAGGTCAGTAGAGAGTATCAGATACCCTGGATCTAGAGTTAAGGATGGTGGTTAGCCACCGTGTGGGTCCTGGGAACCAAACCCACTTCAAGAGCAGCCAGTGGTCTTAACAACTGAGCCATCTCTCTGGCATACCACTTTTAAATGGCAAGATATTTTACTGTAGCTTAGGAAAATAACTATGCAAACCTATTGTTTTAGGACACAAGCAAGGCTGAGATCGAAACTTAAGATTTATTTTTTAAATGAATAGATTTGAGGGTCTAGGGAGTTGGCTCAGCCAGTAGGAGGCCAGGTACATGAGCCTGAAGACCTGACTTTGGATCCTCATCATATGCTTAAAAGCTGAGTGAGGCAGCTCTGGGTCTGTAACTCCAGTTCTAGGAGGTGTGGGGATGGATTCAGTGGGGCCTTGGCCTGCTTGCTTAGCCAAATGGATGAGTTCCAGGTTCAGTGAAAGATCTAGTGTCAAAAAATAAGTATGGAGGCCAGGTGTGATGGTGCACGCCTTTAATCCCCGCACTCAGAAGGCAGAAGCAGGCAGATCTGTGAGATGGAGGCCAGCCTGGTTCCAAGCCAACTGGGGCTACAGGGAGACTCTGTCTCAAAAGATCAAATAATAACAGTAAGTTTGGGGCTAGGGATGGAGCTCAATTGGTAGAATGCTAGTCTAGTATGCACAAAGCCCTGGGTTAGATTCCCAGCACCACATAAACTCAGGGTGGTAGCACACACCTGTAATCCCAGCATAAGGAGGCAGAGGCAGAAGGATATAAGCTTTTAGTCATCCTCAGCTACACAGAGTTCTAGACAAGCCACAGCTACATGAGATCATGTCTCAAAAACAAAAAGTCAGAAAGAATGAAAAAATAAGTAAAGAATTAAGGAAGAGGACATGGCCTCCAAACACTCACACACATGCATCCACACACACATTTGCACACACATACACCACACACACACGAATAAGTTTGAGAAACAAAAATAATACAAGCTACAGATGTAGCTCAGTTGGTAGAATGCATCCTAGTGATTCCAACATTCAGCAGACAGAGGCAGGAAAACAGGGGTTCAAGGCTATCCTTAGCTACACAGGGAGTTCCAGGCCAGCCTGGATGCATGAAAACCTGTCTTCAATCACAAAGACCCACGTGGTGGAAGGAGAGATCTGACTCCTGCAAGTTGTCCTCTGACCTCTACACACGCATCTCGGTGCATGCATAACACACGTAGATGATGATGATAGATGATAGATAGATGATAGATGACATATGATGAAGATAGATGATAGGTAGATAGATAGATGATAGATAGATAGATAGATAGATAGATAGATAGATAGATAGATAGATATAGATGCTAGGTAGATAGATGGGTGGATGATGATAGGTAGATAGATGATGGATGACAGATAGATGACGGAGGATGGATGGATAGATAGATGATAGATAGATAGATAGATAGATAGATAGATAGATAGATAGATAGATATAGGGATGTAAAATAATGCTAATGGCTAGGATATGGTGAAAGACGGCGGGAAATGTTGGCATAAGCAAAATTGACTAGGAACTAATGCATTAGGCATAAATTAAACTGAGTTAGGCTCCAAGTCCCTCTGATCAGTGTTTCCAGAAATCCTACCGCCGCCAAAAATCCTACCGCCGCCAAAAATCCTACCGCCGCCAAGCCTGCAACGCGCGGGTAGCAGCTCGCACTCCCCACACCACCTGCCCAGAAGCCACAGAGAGTGCCAGGCCGCCGAGCGGTGGGAGGAGAGGGGACAGAGCCCGGAGGAGTGTGGCCAATCCGCCGCGGCCTGCGCCTGGGGGCGGGGCCTCCGAGGGGCGGGCCCTCACGGTAGAAGGCGGAAGTGGCTAACGAGTCATGTGACCCGAGTAACATGGCCGCCGCCCACTGAGCGTGGCCGGTGCCTAGCGGGTGCAGGTCTCGTGAGCGGCGGCGTGGCTGGGGTCGCGCGTGGGAGAGCGGGGTCCGGGCCCGGGTTCCGTGGGCGGCGTGGCCCATGAGCGGGCGCCGGGGTCCGCGCCGAGCCCACACTCCCCTGGCCCTGGCGCGGCCCGGGCTGCGGCGGGCTGAGGAGTCTCGAGGCTCCCGGGCGCACCCCGAGCTGCGACGATGAACCCCGAGAAGGACTTCGCGCCGCTCACGCCCAACATCGTGCGGGCCCTCAATGACAAACTCTACGAAAAACGGAAGGTGGCAGCGCTGGAAATCGAGAAGTAAGAGCGGCTGGGACCCCACCCGGGCTGGGCAACCCCACCCGGCTGCTCTGTTCCCCTGGGGGTGCTCCTCCTGGTCCCCCAAATAGCTGCAGTGAGAATGAAGTGACATAACGTTTTGTAGTACCCAGTACAGTGCCTGACACCTAGGGAGCCTTCAGTGTGGTCTCCATCAAAGCCAGCAGATCAGAAAGTGGCCTCTGTGAGATGTTGACCCGCCTGCCCTTTTCCACCTTCTGGAAAGACTATTAAGTGGTCAGGTGGAGAAATCAGCTCAAAACGTGTTCTTAATGCTCAGAGGATTGTCATGTTTTCTCTTCAGCCGTGTCACCCTTCCCTGAAAGGTGAAATTAGGAATAATTCACCTTTCTTTTGCAGTGTTATACCTGTGTGTTACGATGTCCTGACGTTTCACTTTGTTTCCCAGTGTTCAAAATAGGGGATGGTTAAGTGGATTGTCTAGTTGATTGTATGTGGGAATGAAGGTTTTGGTTTTTTTTTCCCCCAGCCCAGTCTTAGTGACAAAGTCAAGTGGCTGGGTGGTTTCAGAATAGGGGAAAGAAGCAGTCTGTGAAACTAGAACATTAGACTCTGGAAATTAGAATGCCCTACATGGTAACCACTGATCATCTGTATTTACATTTGAATTAGCCAGAGTGGTGGCACAGGCGTCAAGCACTTGGGAGACTGAGGCAGGAATATTGCAAGTTTGAGGATAGTCTGGGCCACCTAACTAGACCCTGTCTCAACTACCCCGTATTCCAGGTGTTTAGTAACCAACCACACATGGTTGTTGACTGCACAGTGCAGACTAGAAAGTGCTTCTGCTGTTGCGCAATGCTCTGTTGGACAGCCCTAAACTGTTCCCTGGAATGGTGCTCATTCTTTGACCTGGGATAGATTCTGTAACCCAGGGTTTCTTAACCTGAGCGCTGCTGACATTTGGGGATGCATATTTTTGGCTGTAGTGGACAGTTCTGTGCCTTGTAGGATTTTTAGCAGCACCTCTGCCCTCTACCCACTAGATGCCAGCAGCACTCCATCAGTTGTGACAGCCCAAACTGTCTTTAGACATTGCCAAATGTTCCTTGAAGGTACAAAATTGCCCCAGTCGGGAACAACTGTCTTTCTGCTAAACTAAAGACTTTAGACTGATAAGAAGACCCCCTGTTCAGCTGTAATATTCAGCTGTTTCTCTCCTGATCCACCACTTTCTTGTCCAGTCTCTTTTTGTACAGCTTTCTATTTATATCCTTGCTTTCTGGTGCTAGCAAGTCCTAAGAGAGTTGCGTGCTGGATAGAGACCCAAAGGTGATGTATGCGCAGGGTTGCATGTCAGTGGGTTCTGTTGGCTTGTGAAGGTGCACTGTATATTCATCAGCTTTACATTACAGTATTTTAATTGAAAAAACTTCTAAAGGGAGAAAATTCATTTTGCATTACAGTTTGGAGGTTTGAGTCTGTGGTTAGTGGGTCCTGTTGCTGTGGGGCCTGTGGTGAAGCAGTAGCACCTTGTGGTAGGGTGCATGTGGTGGAGCATGGTCAACTCACCTTGTATCAACATCTAGAAAGAGGAAGAAGGGCTAGGGTCCTACTGTCCCCTTTAGGGCATACCCCCAATGGCTGAAGAGCTACCAATAGGTTCACCTCTTAAAGTCTATTAGCTCCCAGTACTGCCAGACTGGGGTCCATGCTTTGAACACACCAGCCATTGAGAAACAATTAAGAGCCAGACAATTCCACACTGGCACCAGCTTTGTCCACCCACTCACCTTCATAGAAGCATCTGCTTTTATCCTGACTTGAACAGAGGTGTTGAGCTCAATGTTGCTGCTTCCAGCACAGCCTAAGTGCGTGCCCTCCGCAGGTGGTTCTGTGAGGGCTTTGTCCTTAATGGGGTTCTTTTGTATTAGACATAGCCCTTGTAAAATTCTGTGAAACTCACTAGGGCCTTAACTGGACTGTGAACTCCTTAAAAGACACTTTTGTCTATGCTCTGCACTTTACAATACCTGGTGGCACTTGATACAATGAATGAATAGCCATACCCTTTTAGTAGGAAAGTAACATTGTAGCCTAAGGACCTTCCTGCTCAAAAGTGGCCTGCAGACAGCCACTGGAAATGCTCCAGCTTCACCCTATAGAATTACAGTCCGCACTTGAACAAGGTCCCTGCATTATTATTGCATGTATTTAAAGTGTGACAACACTGACTTCGAAGATCATCTGTTCTGCATATCGAATATCTATCTTTGTATATATTCCTCATGTGACCTGGTCAAACTGTCCTCAACCAAACAACCTACTAATGAGTCCCTGCAGACACCCCGTAAAAGAAAAGTCAGAGCATTGGCAGTCGCCTGCAGCGCATAGACAGGTCAGCTCACATGCTTCAGAAATAAATGTGCTTACCCTGTTCTTATGTGAGTGGCCCCTCTAAGGCACCCTGTTTCTTTTTTTTTTTTTTTTTTTGCCACCCTGTTTCTTAAGAGGCCACATGGCATAGTGGTTAAGAGCATTAGAGCCCCAGTCACTGGGATTCAAACTCCTATTCACTTGTTGAGTGAGCCTGAGCAATCTAATTAATCTCCATGGCTTCAGCTGGAAAATAATAATAGTATTTGTAGAGGTATTTGATTATGAAGCTAATGTTGTAAAAGTGCTTGATGTAGGGGCTGGAGAGATGGCTCAGCACTTAAGAACACTGGTTGTTCTTGCAGACCTGGGTTCGAATCCCAGCACCCACATGACAACTAACAACTGTCTGTAACTCCAGTCCCAGAGGATCCGACAGCCTCTTCTGACCTCTGAGGGCATTGCACAACATGAGTGCACTTACCTACAGGCAGGCAATACACGCATACACATAAAAAATAAAAATAATAATTTTTTTTGTTTTTTTTTTTAATGCTTAGTGTAGTACTGGACACACTATAACTGTGACATAATAAACAGAACTGTTACATAATTGCTTGTAACTGTTTTATATCAGTACTGCACTTTTTGGTTGTCAGGCGAATGGCCTCCTAAAAAATATATTAATCCCTAGAGTCTGTGAATGTGTGATTTAAGGTGGAGGGTATCAGCTGAGGAGATGGCTCGGTGGGTAAAGCGCTTGCTGTACAAGCATGAGGACCTGAGTTTGGATACCTAACACCTATGTAAAAACTGGACTTGGCAGCATGTGCCTATAACTCCAGCACCTGGGCTTACTGGCCAGCCAGTCTAACCAGAACAGTGAGTTCTAGGTTCAATTAAAGACCCAAGTTCTTGGGAGCTAGAGAGATGGCTTAATGTTTAAGAGCAGGCATTGCTCTTCAAGATGACTCAAGTTTGGCTTCTAGCATATCAGGTGACTTACGACTGCCTGTAACTCTAGCTCCAGGGGATCTAAAACCTCTGACTTCTGTGCCTGCACATGTCCACACACAAATACATATAATTTAAAATAAAATAAATCTTTTAATATTAGTGATTAAAATAATATGATAGAGGTAGATACACCCAGTGTTCGCCTCTGACCTCCACATGCACACATGGGTGAGCACACCTGCACAGACACTTTGGGGGGCAGGGGGAGATAACATGCAAACCAAAGTTGCTAATCAGATGACCCTAAAATAGGGAGAGTGTCCTAGGTTTCCCAGACCTTGTAGCCCCAAGCATCCTTCAGTGTAGAAGACAGACAGAAGCAAGAAGAATGTCAGAGTGGTGCAAGAGGTTCAAGCAGCCCCCACTAGCTTTGAAGATCTAAGGGACAACTAGCCAGAGAATGTGGACAGCCTCTAGAAGCTGGCAAGAAAGTGGGTTCTTCTCTAAAGCCCTCAGAGTATAAAGCAACCTTGCCCACGCCTTGATTGGCTCAGCAAAACCCATAATAAGTTTGTGTCCTGGCCATTAACTTTGTAGTAATGTGTAACCATAGCCAGTGGGAAATGGTATAACTCTGGGAGATGCCTGTGAGCTACATCAGTACTTATCTAGAAAACTGGTTCAGCTCGATTATCATTGCTCTACATCTGTCACCCTTTGGCAAGCTCGGGACCCCTCCCTCACATCATGCCACTTCTTGGTTAGAAGCTGAAGGCCTAACTGCCCACCGGGTTTGCCCCTGGCTTTCCCAGGCCAAGTAGGAAGCTCACAGCCTCATGGACAGCCTGAGCCCAGCGGTCATGTTGAAGTGTAATTAGGGATCCCTTTAAGGTACAGCTGCAGAGACTAAAATTGAACTCACAGAGGCAGAACAGGAGACTGGTTTGTGGTTTACAAGGAGGCAGAGGTCTCAGCCTTCCTTGGTACACACTTTGGACAGAACTCCCCTCTTGGGTAGAGCATCAAATGAAGGCAAATAATATAAGCTAAGAGGTGTTAAGTGTGCCTTGAACTTTCCTCAAAAGCCCCTGCTAAGTGCACAGATGTGGTTATATTAATGTGCCCCTGCTATAACAGAATACCGCATGCTGGGGGCTTCAGCAATAGCAGTTTATTTCTCACAGTTCTAGAGGCTGGGAAATCCAAGATCAAGGTCCTGGCAAGTTTCATTCTGATGCATTTCACCTCATGCCTGCTATGTCATATGTGTACTCAACTACTTCCTCCTCCTGTTCCTCCTTCTCGTCCAGTGTGAGGAGGAAGGCTTGCTCTGAACACTAATCCTGGGGATCAGAAGCTGCACTCTTAGGAACTCATTCACCCTTGATTGCTTCTTTTTAGGCCTTCTCTCCAGTTATAGTCACTTTGGGGGTTAAAATCTCAGCATGTGAAGTTGGGGGGTAAAGAGACAGTTGAGTTGCTGTGGTCATCAATGCTCAGAGTAAAACCTGGGATCACATATGTGTGAAGTGTGTCTGCCCTACTTGGGATAGAAGGGAGGAACAGAGGGTCATAGAGTGTCCCTCTTCTCTGTTTGGCCATTGTACACCCCCCATCACTTACTATGAACTAGGTCGTGCTACCCCATTTCACATAAGAAAAAACAGAGGTTCCTTGTTAAATTATCT